GTGTTGCACTAACTCATCTCCCCATGGATGGAAACATTTGCATGGTAACAGCCGTTCCTCTTGAGAGTGGTTTGCTGCCACATTGCTGGGGAGATTCTGCCTCTGAGCCTGGAGTGGTTTACCTCCCACCCCTATCACATCCATGACATGGGTCCAGGGCTGCCAGTGGGAGGCTCCAGGGAGGAGCAAGGACTCTGATGCTTTGTGTCGTGGGAGCCTCGGGACTTACCCACGCATGACAGGCACATTCCTAGGAGCTCAGTGGGAGGAACCCAGCTACTTCATATGCTGTGCAAGGTGCCAGTGACAGAGGAGGGGAAACGGGAAGATGCGGAGGAGGGCGGGTAACAGGAGGCCCACAGAAAGGACACCTGGGCCTGGGCAGTGGTGGGACCAGATGGGAGGCAGCTGTGGGAGGCGTGGGGCAGTGAAGGCCGTCAGGAGTGGGGATCACAGCTGCAACTTCACGGGGAGGGGTAGGCCCCACAGCTGGGCTGGTGCCACCCCACTACCCAGGGCCGACCTGTGTGGTCATAAAACTCTTGTGCCTGGAGCGTGCCGAAGGCAGCAGTGCCCTGGCCTGGCCACCATGAACCCCTCTGTTCCCCCATGCTGTGTGGCATGGGGCAGGTGTGGGGTATCCAGCTGGAGCCTTGAGTAGTGGAACCTCAGCTGGGATTTAAGGCCCACAACCAAAGTGCTGGGATTACAGGCGTGAGCCACTGCACCTGGCCCCAACATTTATTATTAAGAACACTTGTTGCTTATGTAGGGCTGTTGGGCCCCACAGGGTCATGAGGTGTCCCTTATGCTGTGCTGAGGTGCAGGATCTGAGAAGTAAAGAGTGGGACACTGAAGAACTGGTGAAGAGCATTTGGACTCGGGGGGCCACGCCGCCTGTGAGTGGAGACAGGCGAGGCCTCGAACACACAGAAGCGTCTGTATTTATTAGGTACAATCAGGGGGCAGGGTCGTGAGTGAGGTCGTCATCTACAGGCTTAGTAATAGGGCATATGTAATCACATGAGTCAAAGCGAGGGGGCCACCCCATTATGTCACCTGGGCAGAGAGGTGGGCCGTGCGCAGTAGTAAAGGGTCCTGTGCAGAAAAGGGGTCCACCCCCATTAGGTCACCGAGGCAAGGAGGTAGGCCATGTGCAACAAGTGTCATTCGCAACACTTCTTACCTGGGGGCTGGAGACTTCAAAGGGTTTCTAATAGAAGGACACTGTAAGCCAATGCAGTGGGAGCTGACAGACTTGTGCTCTTCTCTTAAGATATTTATGGGAGGATGATTTGAGCTAGCACAGAAGCAAGAAAAGACTGACAGGGTGTATGTACAGCCACCGTTACTGGTCACACCAGAGGGGTTCTTCTCCCTCGGTTACTTCCAGGATCTCAGGCCTGAGGCCGACGTTCCACAGGAACTGGATGCAAGTTATTATACCTCCTTTATCAGGAGGAGAGGCTCCTGCTCCAAGCCTGCCATACAGCGTTTGCCCTTTCAGGCAGGGACGCCTCCACCTGGGTCTTTGGTTCTCATCCTGGTCTGGCTTTTCCCATGTGCTGCTTCTGTTCTGTGACTGCTCTAGGCATTCCTCCTACTACAGACTATTATATGGTTATATAGAAAGGATTCTATAAATCAGCACTAAATGTGTCGGTACAGCTCCGACTACCTATATGATTATATAGAAAGATTATATGGGACTAAGTGTGATTATATATATAAGCTAGTATAGTAAGCCGTGAGTTATACGATTATATAGAAAGATTATATGGGACTAAGTGTGATTATATATATAAGCTAGTGTAGTAAGCAGTGAGTTATGCTTCAGGCACTAATTGTGCCTGGGGTCTGCACAGTTCTCCTTCCTCCATGCCCATGGTGGGGGTGTTACCCACAAGGCCGACCTGAGTGTGTTTATGAAAATGCATGTGGGGACCAGCTGCAGACACACAGACGACTCAGATGCACGGACGACTCGGACACACAGACAACTGCGCTATGCCACCACCTTGGGGCACTCAGGGAGTTTCCTGGGCCCAGCCCTGCCTCCAGTGGGTGCAGGGTAGTCTTGGGAGCCTCCCCACATCATTGCCGAGAACTGGCTCTGGGCTGTTTCCATGCGGCCAGTGAGTTTGGCCAAAGCGGCCCCCGGTGTGCTGACCCCTTGGAGGCCCGCAGGGCTCGTCCATGCTCTGCCAGGCAGTGCCCAGCCCAGCCCCCCAGCCCTGCTGCTTCATCCCACTCCACCCCTGCCACCCCCACCAAGCCTCCAGTGTCCTGCCTGGCCCTATGGACAGCAGTGTCCTCCTGTGTCCAGAAGCCTCCTCCCCTTCAGCCTTCTCGGGCCTTGTGACCCCTCTGCAGTCCCCAGCACAAAGGGCACACGCCCACCCTGGGGCCTTTGCACAACTGTGCCTCACCCACATGTTCTCCCCAGGCCCCAGTTCTCACCTCCCTCAGGCTGTTTCTCAGGCCCCCAGCCCCATCAGCACAAGGCAGGCTCCTGCTACTGCCAGAGTCCGACTCCGGGCCCGTGTGCACTCAGACGCAGTGCTCTAAGAGGCCAGGGTGCCTGTGGCTGGGTGCAGGGGGTGGCAGTGGGAAACCGTGTCAGGCACCATGGGCCCCGGCCTGGAGCTCACGTTTGAGCTGCAGAGATGGCCACTGAGGGCTTTTGAGCAAGAAGAGGCAACACTGGCCCCTGGGGATGCCATCAGGGAAACAGGCCACCTCAAACTCTTGAGGAGAGAACCAGTGGGGCCGGGGGCTGGAGGACCCTGGGCAGCTCCAGCTGGGTCCTGCTCCGTGCCCAGCCCTGCTGCTTAGGAAACTGAAGCAGCCCAGGACTAAGGGAGGGAAAGTCGTTTGGGAAATGCTCCCTTTTTTTCACATTTTATCAGGAAACGTTTCTTACTGGCAAAGAATACAGGTACCTGATGAATGAAGGGGGCGTCCTGTCCCCACATCCCTTCTGTGCGCATGACCCACCTGCCTACAGGGACAGCCCTGTCCCTGCCTTTGGCTCCCCAGCATAGTCTCCTCTACCTGGTGGCCTGGCTGTGGAAGCTGCTGTGGCCCAGCTTTCAGACAGCCACAGCCCTCACACGTGTCCAGCCTTGCGTGTGAAGGATTTGCCTATTTTTGTGACATCCTAGTAGATGTCACATTCGTCGAATGTATGTGGGCATTTCTTTATAAGTTCCCAAAAACCTCTGAGGGTTTTTCCACTATTCCATTCCCAGTTCAGCTTTTGTTGTCCTTGGTGTTCTTGACTGCCCTGGGCCCGAAGTGGAGCGTGGGGGTGCACCAGCAGCCTCCATCCGAGGCCCAGTCCCCCCATCCTGCATCTTCCTGCCCTGAGCCCGAAGTGGAGAGCAGGGGGTGTGCTGGCAGCCTCCAGCTGAGGCCCAGGCCCCCTGCCCTGCATCTTCCCGCCAAGCAGCACCTGGATTCGGAGGTGGAGGCCTAAATAGGCAGAAACAGGTTGATTCTAACTTGAACGGCTGGAGGGTCCTGAGGGCGGTGGTCCGTGCAGTGCCAGTGTTGCTCTGCTGGGACGTGTTGCCCCCCGCAGGCAGGGTATCACCAAAGCAAGGCCGCACTGGGGGCATTTCTGGGCTTGGGAGCCTTGGCTTTTACAGGGAGAAGGTGGCTGCTGGGTGCCCTGCGATTGGCCCATAAGCTAGGCTGTTGGGCTCAGTCAGCAAGGAGATGGGAGCCTTGGAGGGTGGCTGCATTTTTCACCAGCCGCACCCACCCGGCCCCATGCCTGGCTCCAGGCTTCGCACGGAGCAGAGCGGACTTGATGCTCTCCCCTCAAGCCTGGTGAATGGTGGCTCTGCCAGGCTGGGCTCTGCTTACAGCTGAAACTCAGTCTTGAGCAAGCCAGGCCTGGCACAGGAGCACACACCTAAGGGGAGGGCTAGTGAGCAGGTGAATGAGTGAGGGTGGGCTGGAGAGCGGGTGAGGAATGAGGGGAAAGTGGGTTAGAGTGAGTGAGCCAGTGAGTGGGCTGGAGAGTCAGGGAGTGAGAGAGAAGGAGGGGGAGTGGGTTGGAGAGCGGGGGAGTAAGTGAGCGAATGCCTTGGTCTTTGGTGCTGCTGTAACAGCGTCTGAGCCAGGGAGCACAGGTCTCCGCTCTGGAGGTCGGGAGTCCCAGGTCATGGTGCCAGCAGGCTTGGTGTCTGGCGAGGCCAGATCTCTGCTTCCAAGGTGGCGCGCAAACGCTACAATCCCCAGAGGAGAGGGAGGAAGGCTGCCTTCCCTGAGCAGCAGAAGGCAGGGAGGAATCCAGGCCCATGCCCTCTTTACAGCTGTAGGAATTGTCTGTGAGGGTGGGCTCCCATCCAGCCCCACCTCCCACTCTTGCTCTGGGGAATGAGTTTCTTGCTGGGAATGGGGCAGGGGGTGCATTCAGACCCTACTGTGGGAGAGTGGGAGGGCGTGGCCATGTCGCTGGGACGTAGCCATGAGTGAGGGGAGCTAAGGGCTTTTGCTGTCCTCGCCCGTGTGTGTTGTGGCATTCTGACCTCCCCGGCGTAGACGCATCACCAGGGCCTGGTATGCAGCAGCCAGAAGTGAGCCTTGAACCACGGCCCAGGCCCGCCTGCCTGGCATTTTTCTGCAAGCAGCACCTGAGATTCTGACGTCACTGCCTGGATAGACAGAAATAGGCCAGCAGCAGGCTCCTGACAGATGGGTCCGTGGGGTGCCGGCGTGGGCAGGGTGCGGTGGCCAGGTCCCACACCTTCATGATCAGGGTTCCAGGACGCCGTCAGACGGCTTGTTTGGCCGGTTAGTGTTGGTGTCCCTCTGAACAAGGACCCCCAGGGTTGGGGGAGGCCTCGCATGGGTACCAGGGTCCCGCTCCATCCCACGTGTGGCCAGCGTGGCCCGCATTTCTGGCATTTTTCAGCTTGACGACACTTTTTTTGACTTTAGGTATTTCCTATATTTTGTTTTGCAAGAAAAATCACTTAGCATTCAAATGCTAGGCAGATTGAAATGCTGAGTTTCTTACTATTTCATTTTGTGATTCAAGTGCGTTTAAAATACTGAATCTGGTAAGGGTGACGCCCGCGTGGAGCTGACTCTTCTCGCGTTGTTTTTCCAAGCTGGAGAAGAAGCAGGCGCTCCCTCCATTCCAGCCACAGATCACAGACGACTATGGTCTGGACAATTTTGACACCCAGTTCACCAGTGAGCCCGTGCAGCTGACCCCGGATGACGAGTAAGTTCCACTGGGGGCGGGAAAGCAGGGACCCTAGAGCACTCCTCGGGCAGCCCCATGAAGGGGCCGCACCTTGGGCAGCTGTTGACCCGGCCCGCCCTTGATGCACACCCGCCTGGTGTCATCTCCCCAGTGGGCGTGGGGGGAGGAATCTTAGGTGAATGTGACTCCGCTCCCCCAAGGGAATGAACACACGGTCATCCCCCGCCTTCCTCCCACTCTTCTTGCCCACAGGGACACCATAAAGAGGATTGACCAGTCGGAGTTCGAAGGCTTCGAGTACATCAACCCGCTACTGCTGTCCACGGAGGAGTCCGTGTGAGGCTGCGGGCATCTCTGTTGTGGACACGCGGGATTGACCCTTTAACTGTATCCTTCACCACCGCATATGCATGCCAGGCTGGGCACGGCTCCAAGGGCAGCTGGGGATGGACGCTCGCGCCGAGACTGCGGAGGAAGTCGCAAGCGCTGCTGGAGCGGAACGGCCCTTCGTGCCTGGGCCCAGCAGACCAGCTCCGCGCCAGAGGAACTTGCTGCTGCGCCTGCGTCACAGCGGACCGTGGGACCCTGCCGAGGGGCTGTCGTGCAGTTCCGGAGGTGCACATCTTCCACAGAAACACAACTCCGTGCACTGATCTGCTGCGCCAGGAAAGCGAGCGTGTAGCGTCCTGAGGAATAAAATGTTCCGATGATGTCGAAGCTCCTCTGATGCCTTTTTTCCGTGAGTGGCACTTGTCTCACGTTCAGACGCAACCCACATGTAGGGGGGAAGTTTAGGAGCCAGCAGGACACGACGGGGCGGTGGTCTAAGTGCCTGTGGGGACCCGCTGCAGTGAAGAATTGTACAAACTCTGCCATGTCTTAAGTTCAGTAAGTTCTTGTCTTCCTGCAGCTTGTGGGCCCAGCCGCTGGGGCCTGAGGGTGAAGTGACACCTTAAGCAGAGGGCAGCTGGGCCAGCCAGCTCACGGGACCCACGTGGGAACCAAATCATAGCAGTTCTAACACGTGGCTCACCAAAGCACAGTAGACCAAAAGAGGAAAGGAAATTAAAAATTAAATCCGCATTTGACACTCTCAGCAGTGCCTGCGTGATGCCTCGGGTGACACCTCTGAGTTTTGGAAAATATTCTTGCCTGTCGCACGGTACTCAGAATTAGGGAAAACTAAAAGGTGTACATGTGATGGACCCTAGCCTTAAAGCTAACGATGAGCCTACAGACGCCCAGAAACACGCATTTCCCAGCGGAGCGGCCTCCTGCTTCCAGGATGGCCCCGAGCTCCCGCTCCTCAGGTGAAGGGACAGCTGCCCAGAGCTGAGGCTCCTAGAGGCAGGTCTGCTAGGTGCCAGGTGTGGCTGAGCCATCTTCTGGGCTCCCTGGGAGAGAGGGTCACAGCACCTTGTACCTCTGAGTAAGGCCTAGTGCACAGATGTGGAATTGCCACGCACCCCTCAGCCAAGCACAGAGACCCCAGGCCTCCATGACTCAGGGCCACCCCAGCCCATGGTGCAGCTGGTGGCTTGGGGAGGAGAGGATAAAGAAAATCTCAAGTCAGAGGTTGGCGCCTCCAGGCCATACCCAGTAGGTGAGCCCAGCCACCCCCGACACTCAGGTTTCTCAGGGTGCTGCCATTGCCTGCACTGAGCACAGCATCGTGGATTTCACCCAGGCCCCAGGTGCTAGGACACGAATGCCAGCGCTGAGCCTACTGCCGGCCCCTTGTCCATGCCCACGGCCCGAGACCTTGGCCACCCTGCCCTCCCGCAGCTCAGGCTTCTGGGTGGAATGTGGAGACAAGTTTCGGCCACCCTCCCAACCTTAGCCGGTGACACTTAACTCCAAAGACGGAAAGTAAGAAACCCCAGGGCAGAGGCAGGAGCCAAGGAGACACTGGGTCTCACAGGTTTCCCAGACCAGTGTGGGGATGTCCAGGTAGCGGGGTCCGGCCTGTGGCCGCTGCAGTCACACCTGCTGGAGGAGTGGGGCTGCCAGGACCCCACCCTGAGTGGGAGAGACCCCAGTGTGTCCCAGAAGTGCTAAGGAGCAAACCGCCTTCCACGAGCCTCCTCGATCTGTGAACCGTAGACCTGTACCCAAATCCTGCCACGTGCCAACAGCGTGCAGGTTAGCAGGTGGGCTGCTCTTGTACAAAATGTGTGAATAATGCTGTGCCCGTCAAAGGGAGACTTTCACATTCAGTCGTTTGTTTTATAAATTAAAGTGAAGAATGTGCTGAAATGTGGTTTGAAGAACCCTAGTATTTGCCAGTGGCTCCGGTCACAATGGTGTGTCTTTTGGAAGTGGTTCCTGAAAACTCTGGGGACTCGGGGGCTGCATGGTAGGCCTGTGTGGGTGTGGTGCGGAGTGGCTGCCCGTGGAGCCATGGCTGGCTGGCTCCTGTGGGTGACACTCCCCCTCGACAGCCAAGGTCATTCAAAGTCTTGCTCATCCATTGAAGACTTTAATGAAGATGGTTATATTATTTTACTTAAAAGTAGGTGTTTCCAAGAAGCAAAGGTTTTTGAAGCCTTTTTTTCTTTTTGAGACACAGTCTTGTCTCCCAGGCTGGAGTGCAGTGGTGCTATCCCGGCTCACTGTAGCCTCCGCCTCCCGGGTTCAAGCACTTCTCCTGCCTCAGCCTCCCAAGTGGCTGGGATTACAGGTGCCCACCACCGTGTCTGGCTAATTTTTTTGTATTAGTAGAGAAGGGGTTATACCCATGTTTGCCAGGCTGGTCTCGAACTCCTGACATCGTGATCCACCTGCCCCAGCCTCCCAAAGTGCTGGGATTACAGGCGTGAGCCACCACGCCCAGCCTGAAGCCGTTTTCTTAAGTAGGCTTATGTCAGGGCAGGTTTAGGCTCCCATTAAAATGAGCAGAAGATGCAGAGTCCCCATGCAACCCTGCCCCTGCCCTGCCCTGCCTAGCCTCCCTCACCAGGGCACACTGCTGACAGCTGCTGGGTGTGCCCTTGTCATCACCCCGCACCCAGAGTCCCCGCCCAGCTCACACTCTGCACCTTCAGTCCCATGGGTGTGCACAGGCCTTTGACAATGTGGATTCACTACTATGGGGCCTCGAGGACCCGTGTGCCCTGGCGTCCTCCTGCGCCTCCCTGCCCCTGCACCTCTGATGTTTTTGGTCCTTAAGGTTGGAATCGGTGTGCAGCGTTTTCTTTCCCTCAGTGATGTGTGTTTATGGTTCCATGTTTTTCAAGGCCTACCTGTAGCCGTGACTGAAAGGAAAATACAGAGGTCCGAGTGTTCATCTTGGGTTTCCACACCACATCCACTCCAGGCCTGTTCCCTCGGCCACCAAAGACGGGGGTCAGGGCTGAATCCGCAGAGCCCGGTTCTCTAGAACCAGGGGGCTGAGCAGCAGTGGACAGGAAGCTCCCCGAGGACGCTGGTCCCCATGCTCCGCCAACACGGTGAGCCAATCAGACGGTGGCTGACAGGTCTGCATGAGCCAGAGGCCCACTGCTTCTGTCCTTCCCCAGAAACCCCCCAATTCAGAAGAAGCTGCCTCAAAGCCCCTGGCAGGTGGCAGTGAGGCCCCAGAGTCTCAGCTCCTGCAGCCCTAACACATGACCACGGACCTGAGGCTTCAAGCAGACTCTGGCTCCAGAGGAGGGCCTTCATCCAGCCTGTGTCCCACAGGGCGAAAGGAGCCAAGGAGCTCCCCCGGGTCTCCATTATGGGGCCCTCATCTCATGAGAGCCATTACCCCGACCTCCTGGCCCGGCAGAGGCCTTGCCTCCTGTGCCGCCACCTGGTGAGGAGTTCAACCTAGGAATGGGAGCTCCCGGCACATGGCCGGCAGAACACAGAGCAGGAGCCTGCCCTGCTCACAACTTGCTACAGTTGCAAGTTCACTTTGAGGAATTAGAACTCAACTGAGGCCAGCGTGGTGGCTCACGCCTGTAATCCCAGCACTTCGGGAGGCGGAGGCCGAGGCAGGCGGATCACCAGGTCAGAAGATCAAGACCACCCTGGCTAACACAGTGAAACCCCAGCTCTACTAAAAATACAAAAAATTAGCCAGGCATGATGGCAAGTACCTGTAATTCCAGCTATTCAGGAGGCTGAGGCAGGAAAATCGCTTGAACCTGGGAGGCGGAGCTTGTAGTGAGCAGGCGGATCACCAGGTCAGAAGATCAAGACCACCCTGGCTAACACAGTGAAACCCCAGCTCTACTAAAAATACAAAAAATTAGCCAGGCATGATGGCAAGTACCTGTAATTCCAGCTATTCAGGAGGCTGAGGCAGGAAAATCGCTTGAACCTGGGAGGCGGAGCTTGTAGTGAGCTGAGATTGCACCACTGCACTCCAGCCTGGGCAACAGAGCAAGACACCACCAAAAAAAAAAAAAAAAACTGACGGGAAGCTGGGCCGGTGGCTCAGGCATGTAATCTCGGCACTTTAGAAGGCCGAGGCCGGAGCATCGCTTGACCCCAGAAGTTTGAGACCAACCTGGGCAACATGATAAGAGGTCCCCAATCTGTACAAAAAACTACTAAAATTAGCTGAGCGTGGGGACGTGCACCTGTAGTCCCAGCTATTCAGGAGGCTGAGGTGGGAAGATCAACCCTCACGTCTGCAGTGAGCCGTGACTGCACAGGAGCCGACCATGCCTGTCCACAGTCAGGAAAACGAGCTACCCCAGCCTGTCCCATCCTCAGCAGGGCTGCTGGGTGAAAGGGGTCAGCTGACCTGCCTGGGGCTTTGTCTGGTTCTGATTTCACTGCTGTGAATTTGCCCTGAACCAAACATCAGGAAAAAACCAGCTGTTTCATCACAACAGACAGGTGCACAGCCTGCTTTAATGCGCAAGCTGGAGAGCTGGGAGGAGGGGCTTCTGGTGGGGGAGGAGGGGCTTCTGGCAGGGGGAGGGCATCGCACACAGCGCTGGGCTCCCTGGAAGGCGCTCACCACATCACATCTTCTGTGCTTTCAGCCAAGCACTGGGCCAAGTGGCTGTCAACATCCAGCTGGGTCAGCCTGTAAGGGAGGAGCTGCGATCACTAGGCCACCTCCACGGTGTGCTGGCTGCAGGGAGCGCCCTCTGGACCTCCAGGTCCTCCCTGCTTCTGCCGCTGGAGAGGATCTGGCTGCTCAGAAATAAGGGATGGAGCCGCCCCAGGGGCTAAGGCACCTGGCAGACGACACCAACCGCCGGCAGCATCTCCACACCCTGCCCATGAGGAGGCTGCTCCAGGCCACAGGCTCTTGGTCAGGCCCTCGATACCACACACAGGCCACCCAGGCCCCCTGCATCTGAGCTGGGGGTGGGAGGCTGTGTCTGAACAAGCCCCCTAAGGGATTCTGGCACCTGCTCAGCTTGAAAACACACTCGTAGGGCCCGCCCAAACGCAGAGCCCAGGAGCCCATCTGCAGGGCAAGGGAGCCGGCAGACAGGCAGCCTGACCCGCAGAAGAGGCAAGAGGGCAGCTGCCTGCCAGGGAGAGCCACTGCCACCACTGCATGTACAGGAAGCAGAAAAGCAAACATGGCCAGCAGCAGCTATGCAGCTCAAGTCAGAGAATCTGTGTTTTTGACGGAGGGGGACCAAGCCTCACCATGGAGGAGGACCCAGTCACCAGCATGCAGGCTGCCAACCCACCACGCTGGGAGGCCCCACGTAAGCCCTGCACCTCTCAGGAGGGCACTGGCACAGGGTGGCTGGCCAGGCAGAGGTGGCAGGAAAAAAGCCACCGAGGCCTGTGGGTCAGCGCCCTGGGCATCTGGTGGGGCAGGAGGGTGTCTTGAGCACAGCCACTTTCTATCCCTGGCCTCAATCTGACCCCATCGAAGCCCAACTGGAGTGGCTGGGAGGGACCTTCCCCAGGCCTGGCCAAGGTGCAGCCCTGGAAGCCAGGAGAGTCACCTTCCAGCCATGATGCCCAGAGGGTGTCAGGTCAGGGAGCTCAGTGCAGCCGCCTAGGACATGTCCAGGGGCACAGTGGGTGGATGCAGCCTAGACTCAGGCCTAGATCTTGCTGGAGGCCCAGTGGTCAGCATCCCCTCAGAGTAACCCTCCCTCGAACACTGCTGCTGGGGACACACCTCCGCTGAGCAGCTAAGTCACAGGACACATGTCCCTGTGTCCACCTGTCAGCCACACCACTCCTCAGTCCCCTACAGCCATTGCCCTCAGACCTGACACGTCCGAGGAGTCCATGGCGCACCACTCAGCCTGGGCTGTGCTGTGTCCCTTCCTGTGGCTCCTGTGCCCTGTCTGTTTGGCCACTGCAGCCCTCAAGTCCCCCTCTCCAGACCATAGCTGGACCCCCACTCCTGGGACCACCAGCAGCCAGCAGCTGCCTTCTCTCTGGCAGAGCCCACCCAGTGCCTTCTGAAACCCCCGAGGGTCACTCAGTCTGAGACTTTCCTGCTTCTGCCCATCCTGGAACCAGCCCCACCTCCACATGCTCTCCCATGGCCACCGGAAGGTGCTAAGGTCTGAACCGAGGTCATCTTGTCCCAGTGTTTCCAGGCAGTGTCCCTTGGTTGGGCCCTCTGAGATGCCTTCAGACCTCGGCCTGACCTGCTCCGTCCATGGGGCTTTGGCTGCTGAGCAGACACATCCAGGCCTCGCAGTACATCCAGGCTATAGGACAGCGGGGGCCTGGCCCAGAAGCCTGCAGTGGCTTCTGCATGTGGGCAGGGGGGTAGGGCTGCAGAGTGGGCAGGCACCTGCCAATGTGAGGGGCCTCAGGGCTGTTAAAATCCTAATGACAGGCGGGGCGCAGTGGCTCAGGCCTCTAATCCCAGCACTTTGGGAGGCCGAGGTGGGCAGGTCATCTGAGGTCAGGAGTTCAAAACCAGCCTGACCAACATGGTGAAACCCCGTCTCTACTAAAAATACAAAAATCAGCCAGGCGTGGTGGCGTGTGCCTGTGATCCCAGCTACTCAGGAGGCTGAGGCAGGAGGTGCCTGCACAGGACAGGGCGGTGGGCCAAGGCCGAGTCCAGCTGTTAGGCCAGATGCTCCAGCCAGGTGGCCTCCTTGCTGGGGTCCTGCGGTCATGAGCCCCAGGGCATCCCGGGGTGGCCATGCAAACCCTTGTTCCCAAAGACACAGGAGGGCTTGTCCCCCAGCTAGCCTGCCTGTGCCGTGGCCACAGCCTAGGAGGTGAGTTCCGGTTCCAAAGCACTGGCTCTCCTTTAAAATCAAGTGTTAGAATGTGCTTGAATGAAGCATTTCTGACACACCAAGGCCTGGACCTGGCTTCAGTCGAGGCCGTCTGCCAACCTTCCAGCAACTGCTTCAAATGCTCAAAACAGCAGCTTTTTCCTCGTGAATCTCCTTTCTCTGGGAGTTTTTTTAGGCTCTCTGGAAAAGCAGGCGATCCAGACAAAAACCCCTACCCAGGGATCGGGGGCAGCGCCCCAACAGCAACCTTGGGGCTTCAGCCAAGAACATGGATTTCTCCCCAGGGCCCCCAACGGTACCTTCTGTCCCTGGACTTTTTTTTTTTTTTTTGAGACAGAGTCTTGCTCTGTGGCCCAGGCTGGAGTGCAATGGCACAATCTCAGCTCACTGCAACCTTCACCTCTCAGGTTCAAGCCATTCTCCTGCCACAGCCTCCCGAGTAGCTGGGATTACAGGCACACAGCACCACACCCAGCTACTTTTTGTATTTTTAGTAGAGATGGGGTTTCACCGTATTGGCCAGGCTGGTCTCGAACTCCTGACCTTGTGATCTGCCTGCCTCGGCCTCCCTAAGGGCTGGGATTACAGGCGTGAGCCACCACACCCGGCCTTTCTTTTGTTTCGTCGGCTGCTGACTTTGGACTCTGCTCCCTTCGCCTTCCTGATCTGTTTTTGGTTCTAGAAGACCTGGGCATCAGGCACGACTGAAGGACCCAGTCTTCCGGCCATGTGAGGTCTGAAACCCACCACCCATTAACCCAACCAAGTCACGAACCAGCATCATCCACACGGCCCTAGCCCCAGTACCTGTTTGGGAGGCCAAGGGCCCAGAGGTCACCAGACACGAGGCCAGCACTGGGCAGTTTGGGTTACCTTAGCAAAACTGGGTTCCATTACCCTTTACTTAAAAATATATATAAAAATACACATTGGACTTCAAAAATAAGAAAAAGCAACTCCAGACAAAAAAAAACTATCTTCATTTTTAAAACCCATGACCCACCCTCAGAAAGGTGTTCCCTTGGCCTGGGCCTGGGCATGCTGGCACCACCAGCTGCCAGGACACCCAGGTGGACTGGGGGCCAGTGCTCCTGCCTTTCTCCCGTACCGTCTGAGGGCCCCCAGCCTGCCCTGGCCCCAGAGCACAGACAGCAGGTGGACCCCAGACCCGTGACAGAGAGCCATGGGACATGTCAGGTCACGGCACCAGGCCACCTTGCCAGGTGTGAAAGGGCTTTAAAAGCCAGCACTGAGCTCAGCCACCTCTTGGCCTTCCAAAGGGCTGTGGTTTCCAAACGGTAATGGGTAACCCGCCAGGCTCAGGGGTGGCTCACTCACCCGGGGGCGAACTCCTTCTGGCACATAGGGCAGCTGTGCAGGACTGTGGCACCCTCCACAGATGGCTTCGGCTCCACACTGGGTGCCCTGCACAGATCAGGTGTCGGGTGCTGGGGAGGGGACCTGTCAGGAGATTCCAGGTGCCCTCCTGCCCTGCGAAGCAGCCGGTAGGAGCAGCCAGGGCCCCACAGGTTCGGTGGAAAGGGCGTCCAAGAGAAGGTCTTGGGTCCCACAGTGAACACTTCAGTGGGTCCCGGGCTGCAGCTGCGCTCCTGCAACAGAGCGGTTGGGTCTTGCCCCAGCGGTGGCCCCCACCCTGGAAACCCCTCCGCCACTCCGATGGGCCTGGTGGACACACCTGTCCAGGGAAGGCGGGCAGTGGAGGCAGCTCCTCATCCAGGCTCAGCTCTGGACTCACGGTGCGCAGCAGCTCGACCCAGAGCCGCTCCCGTTCGTCACCCCCCAGGAGAAACCAGGGACGGTCGCCAGAAGGCCTGGGGCGGACAGAAAAGGGAGATGGGGGTAGTCAGCAGGGGAAATGCTATGGTGGGGGAGGCCGGGGAGGGCCTGTAGCAGAGAGCGGGGAGATAGGGGGCACTAGAGGGAGATTCCATGGTGGGGAGACAGCGGGCAGGGTTGGGGGAGGGCCTGCTAGAGCAGACAGTGAAAAGATGAGAGGTAATGGGGTCGGGGGAGCGGTGGAGGGGTGGATATGTGGGGGTCCTCGGCAGGATGAGACGATGCTGGGGGAGACTGCGAAGGGCCTGGGGAAGATAGAGGGGGAAGGTAGAGGGGGAGATGGGGGCCCTCGGTGGGGACGCGATGATGGGGCAGGGCCTGGGGCGGCGCGGGGGAACCTCGGGGTGGGGTGGGGGCTGGAGGCGGGAGCTGAATGGCGGGGCGGAGTGGCGGAGGACCCGGGGCGGGAGCCTTCCCCACCGGGAGAAGATAGTGGGAGGCCCGCGGGGGCTCCGGGAAGCACGCGGGAGTGGGAAAACCGGCCGCGCCCCCGCCCAGCCCCGGCCTCACCCGCCCGCCGGGGGCGGCTTCCGACGGCTCAGCCCCAGCCGCGGCCTCCGCGCCGCCTCCATCGGAGCTGCGCGCCGGACGGAAGTGAGCGCAGGCCCCGCCCCTGCCCGGCCTCCAGGCCTCGCCCCCGACTCTGCGGTGAGGTGTCCCCTCCGAGACAGTCGGAACCCCGGGGGCCCTGATCCCAGGCTGCAGGAAACCGAGGCCAGGGTTCCTTCGTCCAGCACCGCAGAAGGGGGCCTGGGGTGGGGCGGAGGCCAGGTGAGGGAGCCCTGCCCGTGCCCCGCCTTTCCGTCCAGGCAGCCCTGGGCCAGAGCCCCATCCGTTACCCCGACGGCCGTCCGGCCCGCCCGGGCCCTGCCTCCTCCCGGCTGCACCCCACAGCTCCCCGCCGTTTCCGGCTCTGCGGAGCCGCCTCCCCTTCCAGGACCACTCCAGGAGTAAATAAAGCTTGAAATCCGCCGTCGCCACCACCGTCGCTTTACAAAAGGCGGGGAGCTCAAGCTCCTTGGCCAAGAAACAAGAGGCGAAGTGACAAAGTCTAGGTGGCTCACTGGGGCCTCAAGGCCGAGCCAGGACTAGGACCCCGGGGGGCTTTCCTGCCTGGACCCTGGGCTCTGCGACCTCAAAGTCGGCCACTTGGTGGCAGCAGACGCTCAGGCACCCTCGTGCCACACCTGGCTGTGCTCAGGCCGCTTGCCTTTGCCTGGGCCCCACTGGGCCCTGGAGTGGCCACCCCCATCCCAGAAGGGCTGGAGTCTACAGGGATCAGGGTCAGGGGCCCTTGCCAGACACCACTCAGGGCTGTGGGACTCTGTGGCAGTTTCTGCCCTGCCCAGCCCCAGCAGTTTTGGGGCCATGCTGGGCACCCCTTCTGCAGGGCTCCCTAGCTGTTCCCACTCCCCACCAGGCCCTGTTCCCTCCCTCCAGAACTCAGCTGTGGGGCCAAGCCCTGAACCCAGGTCACGCAAGTGGCGCATGTCCTCCAAGTGGCCCTGGCCTGGAGGCCATGGGTGGGTGTTCAGGGCAGGGGTCAGGAGCAGGGCCTGGACTGACAGGGGGTCCCCACTCCCTCCATGAGTGGTTTTCTTCAGCATACATTTCTGTTCTAGATGCTGGAGGCTCCCAGCAGAACAAGACGGAGGCACCAACCCCCAGGCCCCGAAACATGGGCAAGCAAGTGGTGATGCAGTCCTGAGTGCTGCCTGGGGGTCTAGGGAGGCTGCTGCAGGCAGTGTGGTCTCAGGGGGCCCTGTGGGAGGTGCCTGGTGACTGGGCCTGCTCTCAGGCAGAGAAACCCAGCTGTGGAATCTCCACGGCTCCATGTTCACCACATGGCAGGTGCCAGCTGACCAAGCGCTCCCAAACTCCAGTGTCCAGGGTTCCCCATCAGTCTCGGCTGCCCGGGCTTCAGCTCCAAGCTTCTAGGTCTCCCCTGGAAGTGTTACCACGGTCTGCAAGGGGTCTTGGAGATTCCAGGAAAACTGGCAGCAGCATCCCAGGACAGGAGAAAGGCCAGTACAGTGGCTCACGCCTGGAATCCCAGGACTTTGGGAGGCCCAGGCAGACAGATCTCTGGAGCCCAGGAGTTTGAGACCAGCCTGGGCAACATGACCTTGTCTCTATACATAAAAAAATAGCGGGGCATGGTAGCATGGGCCTGTGGGGCTGAGGTGGGAGGATCACCTGAGCCCAGGGAGGTGGAGGCTGCAGTGAGCCAAGATTGTGCCACTGCACTCCAGCCTGGATGACAAAATGAGACCCTATATCAAAAAAAAAAAAAAAGTCCAGGTGTGGTTGCTCATGCCTGCAATCCCAGCACTTTGGGAGGCCAAGGCGGGAGGATCACTTGAGGCCAGGAGTTCGAGACCAGCATGGCCAACATGGAGAAACCCCCATCTCTACTAAAAATACAAAAATATAGCTGGGCGTGGTGGTGCACACTTATAATCCCAGCTACTTGGGTGGTTGAGGCACAAAAATCACCTGAGCCTAGGAAGCGGAGGTTGTGGTGAGCCAAGATTGCACCACTGCCCTCCAGCCTGGGTGACACAGCAAGACTCTGTCTCAAAAAACAAAAACAGACAGGAGGAAAGCCCTTGATGACAAGGGTTTGCTCCGGTCTCTGGGCCATGCTGGGCGTGGGGATTGTGTTCTCGTCCCTTCCTCTGCGTTCACTTCTCTGCTCCCCGCTCCGGCTCCCCACCCGCTGTTGGACCAGGGGTGGTCCCCCACATGGCCTCACCATCCAGTGCCCTCCTGTCATGAGACTGTCAGCTTCCGGATGGGCTCCAAGCCTCTGGGACCCTTCTCCTGCCATGCTTGCATCCCTTGGGCAGCACCTGGGGACCTCAGGCCCTGCCGTGTCCTGGAGGAGCATGTGAGGGACCCCTGTGTGCAGCTGCTGCTCCAAAACTGGGGGCAGGAGGACTCAGCCCCCACCCCGGGAGGCCACACACTAGAGCTTTGCTGGGGTTTTCAGCATCCTTCTGGCCCCTCGAGGCTCCCTGACACAGGTGCTGCAGCCATTGGGCCCAGGAAGGGCAGAGCGAAGCGGGAGCAGGGAGGGTTCTTGAGTGGCCCAGATGAGGGACACCTGTGCTGCCCAGCTGGTGTGTGCTGCCTGGGAAGCTCTCACTGCAGGTGGCCCAAGGCTGGGAGACCCAGGCCTATGGAGACCTCAGGGCTAGCAGAGCCTGGCTCCAGCCTACAGCACTGAAGCTGGGTGCCCCCAGCCCCTTTGGCCTTAGCCACCCCAGTGGGTCTCATTTACCCTTGGCCACCAGAGAAGAGGAGCTGGGGCCCGAGGCCAGGCCAGTGCTGTGTGGCAGAAGTCAGGGCCTCTGGGCCTGGTGTTTTGTGGATGCAGAGACAGCACAACATGTCACAGATTTCCTCCAGGGGGCTCTTCCCCTCCGGGTTATCTGCTGCTCTGAATTAATCTCCCCTCCTCCCAGGTCACCACTGGGGAAGGGGTGGCGGGGCAGGCCCCTGTGACCTACAGCTGGGAATGAGTCCACACAGAAAGGCACTGGGGTTGACTTCTGCTCTGGACACATGGCGGGTGCCTCCGCTTGTCAGGAAGCCTGCCCCCAATGCCCTCCCGCCAGACAGCCTTCCCGACAGCTGTCTGTCAGCCCACAGCCTAGACAGGGCCCAGCCACTCAAGACTCTCAAGACAAGTGAGCACATTCACCTCAAACAAACACACCTTATCCTGCCCATCTCCGAGTTACCAGCACGACACCGTGGTGCTGCTGAAGTTTCAAGATTGAACTTGACGAGGAGGCTCACTTCGTCCAAGCCATCTGCTGCTGTGGTGACAGGGAGTTTCGCTTTATTGGAAAATAATTTCTGGCTGGCACTGACACATGCAAATTCACGTTTACCAAAGACTGTTTCAGCATGGGAGTTTGTGCCCCAGGCAGAGCGGAAGGCGCTCAAGTGGGTGGGGGCCTGGAAGCTGCCTCCCTCCTACTCCCACACCTGCAGACCCATGGGCTGGGAGACCCTTATCCTCTGTGACATAAAAGGATGCATCTATGGATAATGAATCAGGCCCCAGCCCATGGAGCTGGTTTCAGAAGCCAGGTAAGTTCTGCTGGCCAAAAGTAGGGAGCCAGCCCTCTCTCACTCCTTCCACCTTGAAGGAACAAGTGTCCCAGCCACTGGCATCCTCAGAGTCTCTGCTCAGCACTGACACCTGCAAATCAGGTTAACACAGCAGTGATGGCCCTGAGGCTGCAGGCCTGGGCAGTTGGCGGCAGTGCCCCCTCCTAATTTCCAAGTGAGACCTGCGGCCAGGAGGCAGCCTGGGCACATGCTCAGGCACTGGGCTGCCTTCACCCTACCACGTGGCAAAATGGCACAGCACCCACACAAGGTGCCCTGGCAGTGCTCACCTGCTGGCAACGATGGCCAAAGGCCGGGGCAGCCTTCTGATGCAGCCAGGCAGTGGGTTGTGCTCCCCTACACCTGCCAGCCTGGGGGTGCCAGGGAGACACGCCTACCCAGTCAGATGTGGCAGCATTTATGGGGTATGGGAGTGCCAGGCAGACAGGCTGTGTTGAGACCATTGCCTGGGAAATGTTGCAGGATCCATGGGGCAGCTGGGTGGGTGCTCGGGCCCACACATGGGGGCGTGGGAGTAGGAGTATGCCTTGGTGCCCGTGGGTACCCACAAACTCCTCACAGCCTCAGTGGTGTGGTCATGGCACAGGCCTGCCTTCACCCTCGAGAGCCAGATAGCCAGGGGCAGCTGAGGAGGGGCCTGGCCCAGGAGAGACAGCAGTCCTGTTTCTGAACCCTCACCCAGCCATGGCCTGTCTCTGGGCCAGCGTCCCTGACCAGAGAGGGCCAGCCACCCTCTCTTGAGGTCCCCAACACCCCTCAAGCACCCAGAGAACCTGCCTCTCCTGCTAATGCCTCCCACAGCCTGTTCTCCATCCTTGAGGCTCAACCCCCTGCCCTCCTCAGCCCCCACCCAGGGGTGGGCTTTTATTGGCCCTAGACCCTGCTCTGACCTTCCCTGTCCCCTCCTGAGCCCAGCCCAGGCTGCTCGCTCCACCCCACTGTCCTGCTCCAGAGTTGTGAGCATAAATGCTGGCTGGTCTTCCCAGGAGGACGGTCCTGTGTGCTCTGTTCCCTAGGAAGCCTGGAGGAGTGCTTGGCACCAAGGAGCCAGCCAGGGAGTGGAGACCTCTCAGGGCACCTGTCTTCTGGGGAAAATCAGTCACAGACACCAAGCTGGCAGAGTGCCAGGGCTGCATGGTGTCTCCAGAGACTCATGCCCACCAGTACCTGAGAAAGTGGCCTTGACTGGAAGCAGGATCTGCACCCATGTAATCAAATCAGCTTGAGGCCACACTGGGTTAGGGGTGGCCTTGGATGCAGTGTGATCAGTGTTCTATGAAAAAAAGGAAAATTGGCCGGGCGCAGTGGCTCATGCCCAGCACTTTGGGAGGCTGAGGTGGGAGGATCACGTGAAGTCAGGAGTTCGAGACCAGCCTGACTGACATAGTGAAACTCCATCTTTACAAAGAATACAAAATTAGCCAGGCATGGTAGTGTGTACCTGTAGTCCCAGCTACTTGGGAGGCTGAGGCAGGAGACTCACTTGAAACCTGGAGGTGAAGGATGCAGTGAGCAGAGACTGCGCCGTCGAGCTCCAGCCTGGGCAACAAGCGCAAGACTCCATCTCAAAAAAAAGGAAAGGAAAATTTGCACACACAGACACGGGGAGGAGGCTTGGGGTTGGTGCAGCCACAAGCCAAGGAATGCCAGGGGCCCACCCAGGCTGGAAGGGGCTGGAAGGAGCCACCCCCGAGCCTTGAGAGGGAGTGCAGCCCTCCCAGACACTGATTCTGGACTTTGGCAGCCTCAGCTGTCAGAGAATAATTGTCGTTTTAGGCTCCCAGTGTGTGGTCGTTTTTCACAGCAGCCCCAGGAGACACACAGAAGGCTTCTGGCTTTCCCAGCCGTCTCGCACCAAGTTCAGCTTGAAGACTGGAAGCCCAGCTCTGGGCGGGGCGCCCTAGGTCTCCTGTCCACCATGCCCAGAGCTGAGGAAGTGGCTTCCGTGGGTGAAGAGCTGGAAAGAGCCCTCAGAGGAGGAGGTGTTGAAAACCTCTGCAGGTGGAGGGGGTGGCCAGGGCCCCCTCAGAGTCCCCAGTGAAGGTCTGGCTTCTTGGCTCTGCGGAATCATCTTTCCCGCCCCTCGTTCAGCACCTTTTGTGGGAAATCTACTGGCTGGGAACAGCCCTTGATGCCCTGAGATGGTGGCTGGTCCCTGTACCCTCCAGCACGCAGCTGGCCTGCAGGGCACAGATCTCCACTTGGCGTAGGAAACTGCTTGGTGTGCTGCGTGGGCAGCGTGGCCAGCCGTGTGCTGTGAGCTCCAACCCTGCTTTGTTCACTTCGACTTTCTGAATGATGTGCAGACCTTCACAGGGAAGCCATGGGGTGGCTCCGTCCGATGCCTCCCTCACTGCCCCAGCATTTCAAAATAAGGCCAGTGGGTAGCCCAGGCCCTGCACATCCCCTAGAGGGTCAGGGACACACACGGTGAGCAGCCTCTGTACAGCCCGGGAGGACTGAGACACCCGCAGGCAGGGAGCGAGAAGGCACCGCCAGGGGCTTCGGTCCTGTCTGTTCATCTGGTAGAACTGCTGACTTTTAGAGAAAGTGACTTGAGGCCTGGCACAGTGGCTCACACCTGTAATCCCATCACTTTGGGAGGCCGAGGTGGGTGGATCACCTCGAGTCAGGAGTTCCAGACCAACCTGACCAATACAGTGAAACCCCGCCTCTACCAAAAAGTACACAAATTAGCCGGGCATAGCAGCGCGCACCTCTGTGTAGTCCCAGCTACTCGGGAGGCTGAGGCAGGAGAATCACTTGAACCCAGCAGACAGAGCCAAGATCGCACCACTGCACTGCAGCCTGGGTGAGAGTGAGACTCCAACTCAAAAAAAAGAGAGAGAAAGTGACCTGAAAGATACAGCCCAAAAATGGGCACAGTTTTCTGTTTCTCTTTTCCCTCATGTGCTCCCTCAGGGACTGTTGAGAGAACCGGGCTCCAGGAGACCCCTGTGCAGATTCCGGGCCATCGGCAATTCCAGCACTGCGTGGCCTTGGCCCAGGGCTCCTCTCCCCTACCAGGTGCTGTGGAGGAGGTGGCCTCTGTTCCTCCCAGCTGTACCCTCCGTATATGCCACCTGGACCCCATCAACGCAAGCCCCGGCTGGGTCACAGTCAATAACAGTATTTCTGTTTCTGTTTTGGTTTTAGAGACGGTCTTGCTCTGTCACCCAGGCATGAGTGCAGTGGCCAGATCTCGATTCACTGCAACCTCCGTCTCCTGGGCTCAAGCGAGCCTCCACACCTCTTTATTTTTATTTTATTTATTTATTGCCCAAGCTGGAGTGTAGTGGCACAATCTCGGCTCAATGCAACTTCTGCCGCCCTGGCTCGGACAGTCCTCCCACTTCAGCCTCCCAAGTAGCTGGGACTACAGGCACAAGCCACCACACCTGGCTATTTTTTGTATTTTTGTATTTTTTTTTTTTTGTAGAGACAGGGTTTTGCCAAGTTGGTCTTGAACTCTTAAGCTCAAGCAATCCTCTTGCCTTGGCCTCCCAAAGTGTTAGGATTACAAGTGTAAGCCACCGCACCGGGGCCCCAGCTGCTTTTATTTTTTGTAGAGACAGGGTCTTGCTATATTGTCCGGGCTGGTCTCATCAAACTCCTGGCCTCAAGCAGTCCTCCTGCCTTGGCCTCCTAAAGTAGCATATACCCCCATTTCTGTGTGAGCAATTTCCAATTGTGTGGTGTGAGGGAGGTGTGACGTGAAGGTCCATCCTCCTCCCTGGGTCCATCCTGTGTTGGGAGCCGTCCTCCCAGCTAGCTGGTGACTGGACAATGGAGCAGGACACTGGTTGAGACTTTCCTCCCCCTCCCACCCGCCTTCTGCTTCTCCCCCTGCCCATGGCCTGGCAACCTTCCCTTGGGCCAGAGGGCAGCCCAGTGTCCTGAGGCCCCAGGGAACTTTCTGGCCACTGGACTCAGTGGCCTGATGCCCAGCAGAATCTCTGAACAGGCCCTTTGCCTGCAGCCCAGGTGGGGCCAAGGCACAGCTAGGATCAGGACACGCTGGAGAGTTGCCGCCAAGACCAGCCCCACCCCCGCTCCTGCCTCCTTCTTCCCCATAGGCTTCTCCATGCTGGGGCAGGCCCTCCGGACACCCCTCCGCAGTCAGCGCCCTCCCGTGGCTGCCCCGCCCAGCCCTGGGCACACCTGCACTGACTGTTCCTGGCTGCCTCACCTGAGCAGGACGCCCTGCTGCTCCAGCTCAGTCCAGCACACGAGGGTTCTCGCTCTAGGGTTGACCTGTGTACCTGTCAGGGAAGGTGGGCAGCTCTGGGGCTGGCTGGTACCCCCTGCCTGGGGTGGAGGTGGGCAGTTCCCGGATTTCTCAGAATGACTCCAGGATGCAGCTGCGCCTGGGGCCTGAGCAGTGGGGAGATGCCAGGCTGGGGCCAGGAGCTGGGCCGGTCCTCTCTGAGCTGCCTCAAATGGAGCCCGGCCTCAGGCCTCAGTGCACCACACCACTTGCCTCCAGGGGCTGGCCTGCTCACCCCACACCCAGACTTGTGATGGAGGTGCTGTCGCTTGGTCCCACTTACAGATGGGCCAACTGAGGCCCAGGGCATCTGTCCGCTTGTCATGGCTGAGCGGCCAAGCTGGATGTGAGCTTTCCTACGCTGCCACCCAGAGATCTTGATTCACTGCAACCTCCGCCTCCTGGGCTCAAGCGAGCCTCGACACCTCTGTATTTTTATGTATATATTGAGATGGTCTCCCTCCATTACCCAAGCCGGAGTGTAAAGGCATGAGCTCAGCTCACTGCAGCCCCCTCCCATGGGGGGTTGGGGCCAGGAGTGAAGTAAGTGCCTGGCTCTCCAAGCAGCCAGAGCCAGTCCCTCCAGCCTGGGAGACCAGCTCAAACCTGGGCAGCTGGTGACGTCGGCTCCCACCATCTCGGGTCCCCATGTGCCTCCAGGCTGTGAAAGCCCCTTGCTGGTCTCCACAGACCCTCACAGATGGCCCCCCCAGCAAACCCCCAGCGGCTGCACTGCTCATAGTCACCAGCTCTGCAGCCTGCGTGTGCAACCAGTGTCCTGCTGGTGTCCCAAGGCCCAGGCGCCTGGCTGCTTGTTCCACCAGCATCGTGAGCCAGGCCTGGGCTGTCTGTGGTCTGCTGGCCTGGCACATTCTAATATTTTTTTCCCTTTTTTTTTTAAAAAAAAGATGGGGTTTCACCATGTTGGCCAGGCTGGTCTTGAACTCCTGACCTCAGGTGATCCGCCTCCCTCGGCTTCCCAAAGTGCTGAGATTACAGGCGTGAGCCACATCGCGCGGCCCCTGCCTGGCACATTCTAAATGGAGGTGCATTCAGAGGCCGCCTGGGAATCCTCTGTGTCTCCTCAGAGGGATTTGTTCCCTCTGGGACATGCCTTGGGGACGGTCAGTTCCCCCAAATAGTGACCTCCCTTCCCCACATAAGGAAAGTCTTTGGCTGAGGGGTTGGGAGGGCCAGGAAAAAGCCTCCAGGCCACGTGGGGCGAGCCTTGGACATCCGGGTCCCTCTGGGCTTCAGCCTGGAACCCCAAGGCCGGTCACAGCTTACAGCCCGTGGCCTGTTCTGGGCCCCCGCCTGCCGCCGAGCGCCCAGGAGCCGGAGAACCCGCAGGACGTCAGCCACCGGACTCCCTCCCACCGCCCCACTGCTCAGCGCTTTCGGGACTAGCGGATGACGGACTGCGGGGTCCTGGGGAAATCAGCGCTTAGCTGCAGCCTCAGCCAGCCGCCGCCTGTGGTTTCCCGCGCTGCCAGCTCACCCCACCTCAGACCCGCGCCAGCTCTCCAGCCTCAGTCCGTCTTCCGGACGCTCCTTCCACGCCCCACCCTCAGGCCCCGCCCCTCCCCGGCTCCTTCAAGCCCCGCCCCTCCTTCCGGCCCCCCACACGCCCCGCCCCCGCTCCTCCTTCTGGCGCTTCCCATGCCCCGCCCCTCCCAGGTCCACCCTCCTCCCAGACACCGTCCACTCCCTGCCCCTCAATCCCTGCCCTTTCCTCCGGGCTCCCCACAACGGCCCCTCAAAGCCCTGCCTCTCTCTCTGGGCGCCCCCATACCCCGACCCCGCTCCTCCTCCTTGACCTTCCCATGCCCCGCCCCCAGCTCCACCCTCCCTAGGCACCGCCCACTCACCGCCCCGCCCAGGCACCACCCACACAACTAAGCCCCGCCCCTCATGGTCCCGCCCCGCCCCACCCTGGTCCTGTCCCGGCGCTCCGCTGGGGTCGCTGCGCCCGTGAGCCCCCCAGGGGTAGGCCCATCCGAGCTACCTCGCCGCTCCAATTTCCTGCAGGTCCACGGGCCCCGCCCCGCGCGCGCGCGCAGCTCGCTCGGCGACCTCCGGGGCGGCAGTCCAGGAGGCGCGGGAAGCGCGCGGGTGGCTCTGAGCGTGCAGTCGCCGCCTGCGGACGGCAGAGGGGCGACTGGAGCTAGTTTCCAAAGTCGAGCTTGCTTCGTTTTAGCGGGGCCTCCACGTGCAAGCCACGAGCGCGTCGCCTCACAGTGTTCTCCCTCGTCCCGGGCCGGGCGTTCTGCGGGTGTCCCGCTGCGCCGCAGGCCTCAGTGGCGCGCCCGGAGGCTGAAAGGCTGAGTCGCGCTGCTCTGTGTGCGCAGGAGTCCCTCCACCACGGTGCCCAGACCGCCAGCGAGGCGCGGGGGACGCGGGGAAGGGCACTGGAGACCCCAGGCCCCGCCGCACCTGTCTGTAGCCTAAGGTCCCGTTCCTTTTCAGTCTGACCTGAGAGCCGGGCTCACGGCAGGGGTGGGGACCCCTGGGCTCGGCCCGCAGGCGCCCTGCCAATCAAGGCCCTGGCAGGAGAGGGGCGTCCCTGCATTGGGCTCTGTCATCGCGTTCCCACAGCTTGGGCACCCTTCCTTGTCGGTGCTCAAAGACCTGTCTGCAAATGTAGCAAGCGTCGATTTTCCCCTTGAGAAATAAAGTGTAAAGGAGGAATAGAGGCCACAGGACTCTCCCGCATGACCCTGGGTCCCCCGTGTGTCTCCTGCAGCCCCGCACAGCCCCCGTCAGAGGCACCTTTTGGAAGGAGTGGCCTGGCTGTCCCCACCTTTGCCACCAGGCGCCCTGTTCCAGTCTGCTTGTGTTCAGCCTGAGTCGTGGGCTGATGGGTTGGAAAGCTGTGACAGAAGGCCTGGGCCAGGAGCTCTAAAATGAAGTTGTTTAACTCCAGTGAAAGGACAGTTGCAGGGAGCCCAGAAGTGTGAAAAGGTCAATTTGAGCACCTTCCGTGGGGTGAGTGTGATGCTGAGATCGAGGGCCCAGGACCCTTGCCCAGGAGCCGCAGCTCTGCGTGCAGCCAGCTTCTGCCCTGCCTCAGATCAGTGACCTGCACTGCATCCAGGAGGAAGGGAGACTCTTGCCCAGGGGCAGACTCAAACACAGCAAGGTCAGGGGAGCAGTGCACGGTTTCCTGTCAAAGTCCACATTTGTGCAAAAAAATTGATTGGAAAGAGAGAGGTGCCGTATTTTGGAATGGAGGTGAGTTGGGGGCTAGTGAGGGCTGGGCCAGTGAGGGACGGGTATGATGTTCTGCCTGGCCCAATGGAGCTGGGGCCACAGGCTCCTGGGCTGCTGGCAGAGTTGGGTCCTGGTGGGGGCAGAGCTGGGCAGGCCCACATGGCCTGTGCATCCAGGGCGTCTTGTCCCTTTGACCCTTCAGAAGAGGACCATCCCCCCTCCCCTCCACCAGCCTTCTCAGGCCTGGTCTGATAGATAGCTGGAGCTGGAAGAGGCTGAAGACAGTGAGAGTCGCTCTCCTTTTTCCTAGGTGAGAACACTGGGCCCTCAGGGTCAGGGAGCTGCCCCCAGGTGGTCTGGGTGGTCGGAGATGGAGGGAGGAGAAAAGCCGGTGCTCTTGATCCCTGGCGCAGCACTGTCCTTCCCCGACGCCCGCTCCACCTCTGCCCCACCCGGGCCCAGACTCCCACTCTCGAACTGGAAACTCCCTGTTTTGGGGGCACACGCTGCGTGGCTGGCAGGTGCTGGAGATGCCCAGCAGAGCAGATACTGCCACAGGAGTGGCTGTGTTTCCTGCAGTGGAGAAGGGGACCCTGGCAGGAGCACTACCCAGCCAGGCACATGGTGCTCAGCCCTGCGGGCGCTGACCCCACAGAAGGCCAAGGTTTTTGCTGCTGGAGGCCTCTCTTCAGGGAGAGCTCCGTCCCGGCTCAGTGTGACCGCCCTCCCCCAGCCTGCTGGGCTGGGACCTCATCCCTGCTCCAGCGTCATGGGCTTTTCCGGCCTTGGGTTGAGGCCTCAGCAATTCAGGCGGGGCCGTTTTGCTAACAGCCTGTCTGTGTGTGTGTGTGTGTGTGTGTGTGTGTGTGCGCGCGCGCGCGCGCGGGCATGTGTGTAGGCATGTGAGCATGTGTGTGCATGTGTGTGTACGTGTGTGTGCACACGTGTGTGTGGTGGTTTCTACCCCAGGGCTGGACACCAAGGCCCCTCTTGGATGCAGGGTATTTCCTGCAGGGGAAACTGAGGCTTGGGGGCTCAGCCCCATGCCTGGGAGGTGTCTGCCATCCAGTCAGCCTCAGAGCTCCCACTCCTGGGCACGATGGCTGCCTGGCCCTGGGCCTGAGCTTCATGGGAGTCTGGGGTCTTGATGGCACACAGACCATGGCTCTGGGTCCGAGGCCCAGCGGGTCCTCTGAGCCCTGCCTCCCTGGAGCACACGTCCCCCCACCTGCCTTCTGCCTCCTTCTTCCTCTCAACTTTACCCTCTCTCCCTCCCGTCCTCTCTCTGCCCCCCTCCTGGCAAGCAGACTGCAATCTTGTTAATTTCTCCCCTACAGTTGTCCACAGGCCCTTCCAAGTTAAATATTACTCATGGCGACAAGAGCCCGCCGGGCAGCGCCCGGCCTGGAGGTGGACCTGCCTGTGGAAGGTGCTGGCAGGGGGGATTGCCAGGACCCTCCTTGCAGCATCTAGGGGGCAGCTGGTGGTGCAGGTGGCCCCAGCATCCTGAGCCCATACCTGGGTCCCTCCAGCCTCTCACCTCGCCCTTTGAAGTCACAAATGTGCCTGTTTATGTAACCTCCGTGCTCGGCCAGAGTGGGCAGGCCTGTGGGCAGCAGGTCCCTAGGCAGGCTTAGGAGGAGCCAGCTGGGGCCCCAGAGGGGCTTGGGCCAGGCCAGGCGAGGGCCTTCCCCTCAGCCGCTCACTCCAGCTCAGTGCCAGGCGAGGGGTAGGACTGGGAACAAAATGTTCAGAAAAAAAACAACCTCATCTGTTTTGAATCGATTCCTCTTATCTGGCCCTCAGTTTTCCCAGTAGGGAAGTGGAGGGATGGGGGGTCATGGGCTCAAGCACCTCGGGGAGACCCCACAGTCGGGGGAGGCAGCGAGCCCAGCCCCCACTCACCACACCCAGCAGCTGCTCCACCCTCACCTGTCAAGAACCCCCCAGGCCTGGTCCCCCAGGGGAGCAAAGCTGGATGTCAACAGCAAACAGGCACAGTGTCCCCGTGCTGCCTTCATGTTGCCCACCCTCTGCCATGCCACCCCTTGTGTCCTGTCGTGCCACTCTGTCCTCCACCCGCTGCACGTGTCTGGCAGGGACCCAAGCACCCTCCTGCCACCGGGCCTTTGCTCTGCTGGCCCCGGCCCCGAATGCCCATCCCTCACCCATTTTAGGGCTGCTGAGATGGGCCTCATGGGAAGTCCTCCTCCCACTCAGCACCTCCCAGCTTACCCTGGGCTATTCCTTTTAGGAACATGGACGCCCTGTCCCACAGACAACATTTGGAAACTTGACTTTTTCTGCTCTCCTAGGAAGCTGCCAGCCCTCTAGAACAGGCGCTCCTTCCAGTGTGTCTGTGTGCTTGCTGTAGGGACACACAGTCAACTCCATGGAAGAAAGCAGTTCCACACCCACCCACCCAGCAGCCATCAGGGCCCAGCCCCCTGGCTGCACCCACCAGACCTTGTCAGGCAGGACCCACCTGGCTGACCAGAGCTCAAGCCAGAGGCCTCCCATGGGGCTCGGCAGGGACAGCAGGAGGGCAGCGGGCCGAGGCGTACAAAGTCCAGGGGGCTGCTTGGTATTGGTGGCGTGTGGCCACCCCACTTGTGCAGGACTTCACACCCTCAGTGTGAGCCTCCCTCCTGCCCTGCTCATACCCCCAGGACCCTTTAGCCACCCACCCTCCCTCCTGCTTTCTGTCCAGACAGAGCTTGTCGAAGGAGGTGCTTCCATGGACGTGCACCGTGTCCACATCCCTGCTGCAGCCACATCTGCTCCAGGGAGCACAGAACCCACCCCGGGCACCCAGATGCTCACAAGGCCTCTGTCCCACTGGGCCCCATCTTGAAAGGTCACTTCCCAGCGCCTCACCCTAGGACCCAGCCTTAGGGTGGGGGCCAGGAGAGGGGCCAGGAGGGGGGCCGGTGGGAAACGCCCTGCCTAGCACCCTGGGGCGGTGCTCTCCAGGCACCTGGTCTGTGACAGGGTCTTCGGGGGCTCTGGAGACGGGTGGCTCCCCCGCCTGCCTCGTGCCTGGACACGAGTGTGCCTGCCTGTGTCAGACAGAGGCGAGTTGGGACTTCACCCCTGAAATCGAGCGGAAGGGCAGGAAAGTGAGCCTCAAAACCACCTTCTTTCCATTTCATTTCTGGGAGCATTGACACCAGCCCGTGGGAGACCTGCTGAGGGTTCTCTTTTCCCATCTGGGTTCTGGTGGGACAGAGGGCGGCTGTGACCGTCACTCAGCCTGTACTGGGAGCCACAGCGCTGCACAGCCCTGCCTGCTGCCTCCCCTGCCCCAGACCCTACCCTCCTCCCTCCACTCCTGCAATGGGGGCGAGGCTGATTGAGTCACAGGCCCTGCTTAGGCAGTGGGACCCCAGCACCCTCCAGCAAGGTGGCGGACCCCACGGGCCATGTGGGGCAGCTCCTTGGGCTCCTCCTGGCCTCTGGGAACTGTGGGACTTTCTAGGCAGCACCCGTCCCTCTCGCAAGGCACTGCCAAGCCTTCTGGCACTTCTGTGGGTGTCTATCCACAGCAAAGCATGCTTGTGCACCAGGGCTGTGGCCCTTCTCCTGCAGGGTGACGCTGGGAATGGGCAGCCTCCCCCAGCCACTCCGGTCAGCAGTGGCCGTCCAGTCCCTGGTGTCCCCATCCTTGGTTTGGGCCAAGGGCAGACAGCAGGAAAAGTGTGGTCCCAGACAGGGACACAAGCTGGCAACGGCTGTGGGGGACCTGGCCATTGGCATAGGGACTGCCCTCCATCCCAGGTGCCTGGTTGGGACCGGGGAGTGGGGGCGGACCCTGCAGCGCCTGCCTTGCCCACGCTGGAACTCTGGAGCTGTGCTACCTGGGGCCAGGGCATTCTGACAGCCTCACTCTCAGGGGCTGGATGCCCGTGGGCACCACGGCAGGCGCCTGGCAGGCCGTGCTATAGGCCATACGCTGCTCTGGACTCTGTGGGCTCCTTGGGCCCCTGCCACCATGGTCACTGCCTCTCCTGGGAGCAAGTTCCTTTTTTTTTTGAGATGGAGTTTCCCTCTTGTCCAGGCTGGAGTGCAGTGGTGCCATCTCGGCTGACTGTAAACTCTGTTTCTCGGGTTCAAGCAATTCTTTGCCTCAGCCTCCCGAGTAGCTGGGATTACAGGTGCCCACCACCCTGCCTGGCTAATATTTGTATTTTTATTAGAAACGGGGTTTCATCATGTTGGCCAGGCTGGTCTCAAACTCCTGACCTCCGGTGATCCACCTGGCTCGGCCTCCCAAAGTGCTGGGATTACAGACATGAGCCACCGAGCCCAGCTGAGAGCAAGTTTCCAATTCAGGGGCCGCAGGGGACTTCCCAGACAGGCGGGTTGCTGTCTCAGCGCCAGCTTGCACCCTCCTCCCCAGGATCCGGAGCAGGAGGGTGGCTGTCTTTTGCCTTGAATCCGCCGGCCTGCTGGAGGGCTCCTGCAGAACTGCTCCAAGGGGCAGAGAAAAGGAAGGACACTGACTCTGAGGACAGACGGGCAGGCCACAGTCAGGAGAGCCCCAGCCGGGGCCCACAGGCTTGGGGTCTCTGCTTGGGGGAGCACGAGGCAGGTATGGGAGGGGGCCAGGGAAGCCCTGCAGCCCCCCAACCCCCAGCCCCAGGCAGCAGTGCCTCAGAGGCCTGGGCGGCAGGAAAGGGAGAGATGACGTCATTGCCGCCTGGAATCTGCTGTTTGGAGGCGTCGCCATGGAGACCGGAAGGCTCAGGGTGGGTAAAAATAGCAAACCCAAGAGGGTGTCAGTTCCAAGAAGCCGAGTCTCTGAAAAGCGAGGCATACAAGTTCTCATCGCCCGGGAGGACAGAGGGCCCAGGCTGCGAGTCTAGCGGGCGGGGCCGCTTGGGGCTGCTGGCTCGAAGCCACCCGCACGCTGCGTGTCCCGGCCACAGCCACCGGGAGCTTTGTCCCCACACAGGGTGTGACGGGCGTGGCAGGCTCCCAGCAGGAGGCGTCTGCAAGCATGCTGCCTGCCTTTGCCTGGGCACCAGAGCCTTAGCCCGAGGGCTGCTCTGCAGGGCCTTTTCCTTCCTCAGAGGAAAAGGGGAAGCGTCCGTGGCCTGTGAGCCGCTCAGCCTAGGCCTTGTCCAGGCCGGAACTCTGGGCCTCCAGGCGGCCTCTGGCGGGGCAGGAGGGCACAGAGCTGGGTTTTCTCGGCCTGGGCTGAACACTCTTTTCCTGCCCTGGTTTTGGAGGAGGAAAGGGACGGCTGCCTGAGAAAGGCCTCCCGCCCTCCTGTTCCTCCAGGCCAGGAGGTGGCTGTCCTGCTCCTCTGGGCCCGGAGATGCCGGCACACACTGTCTGCACCTGCCTTCAGCTGCGTCCTCTGTTGGTCCCAGTGTCCTCATGGGTCCCCCTAAGTCCCAGGCCACAGGCAGGCAGCAGGGGGCCCAGGGGCTCTGGGCCCCTCTCCCCAGATGGCAGAGTCCTCCAAGAACCCCTGCGGCTGTGAGGGGCTCCCCACCCAGTGCCACCTCCAAGAAACACTGCCTCATCTTGGCTCTCAGCCTCTTTGGGGGCTCCTCTCCCCCATGCTTCACAGGGGGACGGGGGGCCTTGCCCAGCTTCTTCCTCCCGGCCTCGCAAGCCTGGGCAGAACTATCTTGGGTTCAGGGCCCAAGAATGACCCAGGAGCCCTCAGATGGTCCAAGAGCACCCGGAACAGGAGGGAGCCAGTGATTTCCCAGCCCCGAGAAGGGAAGCCTCATCCGGGGAGAGTGACTGTTCTGGGGGGGCCTGAGGGTGGCTCTTGGGGGGCAGGCAACTGCCCACCACAGCAACTAAGGTTCTCCTGAGCAGGCGGGGGACCCTTTCCTTTTTCACGTGGAGGCTGCTGGGCTGGGTCTGCCCACTGCCACTCCCTGGGTGCTAAATCCTGGAATATCTTCAAAGAGCCACCATCCCTTCTCTCTGGCACACACCATTGTTCTCAGGGTGGCAGGGGGATTGGGCACGGGTCTCACCTCTCATGCCCAGGCCTCCCCTCTCACGCCCAGGCCTCCCTTGTCTTGTGGTGGCTCAAGGCTGGAGAGGGTGAGGGGACATAGAGGCCTTTGTAGGGGGAGCTCCTTCCCCCAAGACATAGCTTGCATGCCTTATGTAACGCGTGAGCTCACGCAGAGGGCCTGCCAGAAATGACGGCAGGGGCGGGAGGGGCCTGCTCGGGAAGCCAAGTGCAGCTCAGGCTTACGAAGAGCCATCCCGGCCCTGCCTTGAGGAGAGAGGGGCGTGGAGCCTTTGCAACCTAGGGCCCCCACACTGGCAGGGGGTGGGTAGAACCTGGGAGGGAGCAAAGGCCAGGTGGTGCCACATATGGCTGGATCTGCGGTGGCTGTGCGGGTAACTGGCCCACCCCACACCCCCACCAGCAGGCGCCAGCCGTGATGTCAGAGGAAGGGGCCTCTCTAAGTCACCCAGGACCCCCGGGAGCAGCTCTGGGACCTTGATGGGATGGGTGGGTAAAGGCAGTGCCAGCTCCTCCAATGTCAGCTGCCCTCCAAGCGTGGCCCCGGGCAGATGCTTCACTGATGATGGCCCTGAGGCGGGGCTGGACCTAGTGTCTGCAGCCACCCCTGCCCTTCCTCCCTTCCCTGTTGGAGTCCCAGCGCCACCCTGGGCTTCCCCTCCCCCTGCTGCCCAGGCCCCCACACTGCGGCAGGCCCAGCCCTGTTCCACTCCTGGAAGGGGACCCAACCCCAAGAGGGGCAAGGGCTTCAGGGAGGTTATGGCAAGGGCCTCTGGGCAGCACTTGGGGCCTGGGTGACAGCACGGGTCCTCAGGGCAGTGCCCCCAGCCTAGAGGGAGCCACCCCTCCAAACACAGTGCCAAGGAGTGCCTGGCATGGGGACCTGTGCCCCGCCAGCAGCATGGCCTGGCACAGCTGCACCTCACTGGGCCCAGGCCGGCCATTGGTCAGCTCATTGCCCATTCCTGGGAAGGCAGCCAGCCCTGGCAGGGAGGGATGACTGGGAGGAAGGGATGCTGGGAGGAGAGGCCAGGCCCTGGGCCTGGGGAGGGCAGGGCGCTGGCAGGGGTCTCTGGCAGGGTCCTGGACTGCGCTTCAACTTTGTAAGCAGGAATGCAGGACGAGTGGGGACTCCCTGAGGGGCCGAGGGCAGTGCCAGGAGCCTGGTCGGGGGAAGACCCTGCTCTCAGGAAGGGCAGCCCAGGGGTGGTGGCCGAGACAGTTGCTGGGTCTGTATCTGCTGCTGATGGGGAGGGTGAGGATGGGGAAGGGGGCATCCACACAGAGGCAGAAGCAGGAGGCGAGGGGTGGGCTCCCTGGACGGCCTGGCCTGAGCCTGGAGGCTGCAGCCTCTGAGTAGCAGGCTGTGGGCAGGTGCCGTGGGTGACTAAGGGTGGGACCTGCATGAAGGGGCCCCTGGCTGCCCTTGGGAGCACCAGGCCCCTGATGTCTGGCCCTCACACAGGCCCCACCCTCACCTGAGCTCACACCCAGACCAGCCAGCCGACCAGCAAGCCGAGGGCTCCAGCAGGTCCCAGGCATCCCTGAGCCTCCGAGTGCTCCAGTGCGCACGTGGCGGTAATGTCACCTGGATCAGCATGTCGGGGAAACCAGGCCTGGCCCACAGGCACTGTGTTAACAGTGCCTGTGATGACTCAAGAGGTTCTGCCATTTTGACCAACAGTGCCACAGCCTTGGGCCCCTGGAAAGCGCCGCAGGGAGTGGCCCCCACTTTGGGAAGTGCTGGCTAAAACCTTCTTGTGGGCAAGGACAGCGCCCTTCTGTGCTCTGCATCCCAGGCCCACTTCGTGGCACTCAGTGTTGCATACGGGTGAAGGACAGTGGCCAGGGCCTCGGAGGATGCAGATGGTGCCCAGGTCCCCCGCTCTCCCACTGTCCCCCATTTTACACATGACCGCTTCAGCTAAGTCAAGAGTGAGTTCTGGCCCTGGGGCCCTGGGCTCAGCGAAGTGCTGAGGGCGCGGGGGGAGGTGGCGCCAGCCCTGGGCAGCCATGAGCAGTGCAGCGCACATGCCAGGCAGCACAGGATGTCCCGAGGACAGGGTCCACTGGGTGAGGGCTGCAGGGCCTGATGCCCATGCAGACTCTTCAGCTCAGCACTTGGCTCCCCAGACAGGGCCTCACCAGTGTCCCCCAGCTGTCCACAGGCTGTGGACACATCTTCAGAGGCAGGCTCTGTGCCCCTCCCTCCCTCCCTCTGGCCCATCCGTCCTGCTGCTGTGCCCTCAGCCCCCAAGGTCCCTGTGCCACTGGGCCAAGGCTGCCAGGGGCTCCTGCAGGAAGAGGAGCCTGAGAGAGCCAGGCTTGTCTCCCAGCCTGGGGCCTGGCTGGGCCCTGTCACACTCTGGGTGTGGGCCCAAGATGGGGTTGGGTAGACACCTGGGGCCCGGGATGGCCCAATGCCTGGCACAGGCTGTGCAAGGCTGGGTGACCTCACTGCTGCCTGACCTGGTTTCGTCCCTGTGGGGAGTGGGCAGGTGCTGGGCTGTGGCTCTGAGTGAGGTGGTCGGCCAGCCACGTGGTCTCACCCTCTGGTTCCCCATGGCCACAAGGGCAGGACCATCCACGGCCCCCAGGAGCCATGGGGACTTCCCAAGCATCATCTCAAGTGACCTCAAGAAGCAGGCCCTGGCTCCAAGACCACCACAGGGAGGCTGACACATGTCCGAGGCCACCCAAGCCCAGCAGGCCTAGGACAGGTCAGGCCACTGACTTCACAGAAGACCCCATGGCAGCTGAGGGCTCTCCTGAGCAGGATGGCTCAAGAGAAAGAACAGGGAGGGCAAACAGAAGTGCAGGCAGCTTCCTTAGCCAAAAAACTGGCTGGGTGCAGCGGCTCACTCACGCCTATAATCCCAACACTTTTGGAGGCTGAGGTGGGCAGATCATGAGGTGAGGAAATCGAGACCAGCCTGGCCAACATGATGAAACCCCGTCTCTACTAAAAATACAAAAAATGAGCCTGGCATGTTGGCGCGTGCCTGTAATCCCAGGTGCTCGGGAGGCTGAGGCAGGAGAATTGCTTGAACATGGGAGGCAGAGGTTGCAGTGAGCTGAGATTATGCCACTGCACTCCAGCCTGGGAGACAGAGCAAACTCTATCTCAAAAAAAGGAAATTAAAACAAAAAAAAAAAGAAATTGCAGGTCAGCACAAAGGAGAAAGTTTAAGATAGCTGCAGATTCTTCACGTGGCAAAAATCACTTTCTTGTTTTTTGAGGTATGACCTGAAGGCTATAAAATTCTAAGTACCATGTAAGTAAGCTGTATCCAGGAATTCTCAGCAACAGTGTTTCCTTTTTTTTTTTTTTTAATTTTTTGAGACTGAGTCTCGCTTTGTTGCCCAGGCTGGAGTGCAGTGGTGGGATCTGGGCTCACTGCAACTTCCGCCTCCCAGGTTCAAGCGGTTCTCCTGCCTCAGCCTCCAGGCAGCTGGGACCACAGATGCGTGCCACCATGCCCAGCTAAATTTCGTATTTTTAGTAGAAACAGGTTTCACCATCTTGGCCAGGCTGGTCTTGAACTCCTGACTTCGTGAATCGCCTGCCTCGGCCTCCCGCCGTGCTGGGATTACAGGCGTGAGCCACTGTGTCCGGCCTACTGTTTCCATCAACAATTTAAAACATTGTGGTTTCCGGCCGGGTGCGGTGGCTCACGCCTGTAATCCCAGCACTTTGGGAGGCCAAGGCGGGTGGATCACGAGGTCAAGAGATCGAGACCATCCTGGTCAACATGGTGAAACTCTGTCTCTACTAAAAATACAAAAAATTAGCTGGGCATGGTGGCGTGTGCCTGTAATCCCAGCTACTCAGGAGGCTGAGGTGGGAGAATTGCCTGAACCCAGGAGGCGGAGGTTGCGGTGAGCCGAGATCCCGCCATTGCACTCCAGCTTGGGTAACAAGAGCGAAACTCCATCTCAAAAAACAAACAAACAAACAAAACATTGTGATTTCCATTTTGATTCCTTCTTTAATTGACATGTTCAAAGTATTTTTCAATGTCCCAGATGATGGTGACTTTTGATGGGAATGTGTGCTCATTTTTCTTTGTTATTTACTTTTATTTATTTTTCTGAGATTGAGTCTTGATCTGCTGTCCAGGCTGGAGTGCAGTGATGCAATCTCGGCTCACTGCAACCTCTGCCACCTGGGTACAAGTGATTCTCCTGCCTCAGTCAACTGACTAGCTGGGACTATAGGCACACACCACCACACCCGGCTAATTTTTGTATATGTAGTAGAGACAGGGTTTCACCATGTTGGCCAGGCTGGTCTCCATCTCTTGACCTTGTGATCTGCTTGCCTTGGCCTCCCAAAGTGCTGGGATTCTAGGCATGAGCCACCACACCCAACCTATTATTTATTTTTAGTTTGGAATTCTAGTGTGTTTACTTTAGTAGTTACCAAAGAAACACAGGTATATAGATAAAAGAAACAAAAAGAACCCCCAAAGTTAGTATTGAAACTGTAGAGTCTGTAGAACTCAGCAGGCCCAGCCCTCCTCTGTGCTTCATTATTGCCCTGGCATCAGCCTCTTCCAAAGCGTTCAGCCAGTGTTTTGGTTTTAGTTTTCTCCATATTTCTAAATTGTGTGCTCCTACTGCTCCTTCTTGGTTTAGCAGGTTTTTTTTTTTTTTTTTTTTTTTTTTTTGAGACAGAGTTTTGCTCTTGTTACCAAGGCTGGAGTGCAATGGCGTGATCTCGGCTCACCACAACCTCCACCTCCTGGGTTCAGGCAATTCTGCTGCCTCAGCCTCCTGAGTAGCTGGGACTATAGGCACGCGCCACCATGCCCAGCTAATTTTTTGTATTTTTAGTAGAGATGGGGTTTCACCATGTTGACCAGGATGATCTCGATCTCTTGACCTCGTGATCCACCCGCCTCAGCTTCCCAAAGTGCTGGGATTACACGCTTGAGCCACGGCACCCGGCCCGGTTACATGGTGAGATATTACTGGAGAATGAGGGTTTTCCTCTTACCCAGTGCTCTCTGCTCCACCCCACCTTCTCTTTTTCTGTCTTCCCAAATGGCAATTGCATCATTTTTGTTTAAGTCGATGACACTAGTATAACTACGTATTATAACTCACTGCCGAGTCCAGTAGTAAAGTCTGCTTAGGTTTTCTCTGTTTTTCCTGAAGTTAGTGTTGGCTTCGTTTTTTCTCTGCTGAGTTTCCTCTGTGCCTCTGGTCCACCCCACCTGCATCTTCCAACAAGCCCTCTATACAGTGTTTGATCTAGTCAATTGCATCCTATGTTCCATTGGTTCCTTGTTTTCCTGGAGCCCTGTGTCCTTCTCTCTCAGTCTGGGCTGGTCACTCTCTGGGCTCCATGTCTAGATTGGTGGGCAGAAATTTCCTGGACGGGGACAGACCCTTCTTAGCTGTTATTGTCATGATGGCAGCCCAGCTCCAGATCCCATTCAGAAAGGTCCTGTGACCATGACTCTGTCTCTCACTGGCCTTAACCAGTAGCCCTCAGGG